AAAAAACGCGTAAGGGAGTCGATTGGGAATAGTGGTCCATCGTACTCAGAATCCACAACCTTTTCTAAATCCACTGTCTCTAACAATCCTCATTCGACCGAAGTCCCTCTACAAATCGACAAATCTTCAGTACCGAATTCCAGTAATAATACTACTCTGATTCTTAACGAGTATAATCAAACTTAAAGGGATGGCAAAGAACCATCAACCCAATGTTCTGAACGAACACCACCAATTACCAAACCTACTTCAGCTCCAGTCCCTAATCACAATCAAGATGGAGACAACAAAGTTAACCCACCACGACTCCGCGATGTTTTCTTTATCTCAGAAAAATGCTTGACATATAATATGCCGAACGATTGTCGCGATTATCTCACGGTTATGGTTAACAACCAGTCTCATGCGGTTTTACTCGATGGTGGAGCCGAAGTCACAGTCATTTCACATACATCTTATGAGAAGTACAGATGGGGGCAGTTGCAACCTACCAAAACCACCATTGGTCTTGCCGATAATTCGATTTCATTTAAGGCCATTGGTAAAGTGGATGTATTATATACGGTCGGTAGTCTTACCCGACTGGTGCCAACTCTTGTCGTACCTATCTCACTGAAACACCCAATTATGGGACGGACATTCCGTGAGGCCTTCTTTTTCGAACTGGTGCAGAACCAAGAGAAAGTTCAACGATTTTTAAAACATACAGCCAAAGGTGATACTGCAGAAGTTGCATCTGCTAAAGTCGAAATGGTCACGGCGTATAAATTTATTAATTTTTGTAACCAGTCACCAGGGAGTGGGAAAGAACAAGCTCAGGTATCTTCTATGAGTAATGATCTGGAGCCAATTGACGCTTCCACACTCGGTTTAGAGGGTGAACTAGATACCCCAAAAATAACGAGTGTCAGCCTTCCACATAATCTCACCCCAGATCAAAGACAAATGTTGGACCCCGTTCTCAGACTTTTTAATCCAACTCCTGAGTCTGGTCCTTTAAACGTCACTAATCAGATCGAACTCGTAATTGATACGGGTGATGCAAAACCCATCAAGAAACGCCAGTATCCAGTATCGCCATACGTGGCTGAACAAGTTCAAGCCGAATTGGATGAAATGCGTAGTCGTGACATCATTATGACCATCGAAGAAAGCCCTTGGCGGTCACCAATTCTGGCTGTAAAGAAGAAAGACGGAACGTGTCGCTTGTGCGTGGACAAAAAATTACCATTCCAAATGCCTATCCAATTAAAGATACTAACCAAATTTTAGCACGACTAAAGTCAGCTAATACCTAACCAGTATTGATCTGTCTCAAGCTTTCTTTCAAATTCCTTTGGC